CGTTATACGATATATAACTGTTTGTGACCAATAACGGCCTTGAATCCTTGACTGTTGCACTAAAACAAGATTTGCAACGAAACAGAAAAGCTATTAATCATGTTCACCTCCTCTGATCCTGTTCACCTCTGGTACTCACTTGTAGCTCTGCTGATCCCAGGTCTGTCCATAGACACCATAGCTCGGTACCTGCCATCCATTGGGCACGTACTGACCAATCTGCTGCGTGTTACTGTACCACTGACCCCACTGACTGTAGGGCTGCGCTGCGAAGCTCACTGTGTTCTGCTGACATACAGAATAATATTTTAAGAAGCAGGATATCACGTTGCACCATCATCACACACAAGTTAAGTCAGGACCTCTCAGTCACATGAGCAAGAGCTATTGCATTTCACCACCTGTGGTGCATTAAAAGTAAGACCTGTGCCGACGATAATCCTACCTGTGCCATCTGTACCTGTTGTATGGGGCCCTGGACCATGTCTGTGGTTTCTTTGCCCCAGTAACACTTAACAACGTAACCCTCTATGGAAGTGCCGTTGACAGAAACAATAGCATGAGCTGCTGCCTCATGGGAGTTGAACCTGCACAAAGAGAAGAGCTTAGGCATCAAACTCCTGAATATCAATTTATTGTAAAAAAAAAAAAAAAAGTAGATTTAACTGACAATTAACCCTTCATTAAACAAGTCACTATCTGACTGGTGTATCAGAAGGTCAGCTTACCTCACAAATGAGTAGCCTTTCTCGGGGAAAACACGTATTTCCATTATTTGGCCGAAAGGTGAGAAGGTCTGTCTCATAATTTGCTCTGTGAACAAGAAAAACAGTCTTAATGTTGCGTGCGTGGGCAGTGCTTTCAGACCTTAAACATTATACTGTGACTCACCTGTGAGGCCTGTTGTGACTCCCCCGCAGTATACGGTGCAGTTGCTCGGGCTGGACTGGCTCACCACCTCATCAAAAGATAGCTGCTTCGTATTGGTTGCTAAAAGGAAATACGGTTTATTTAAATAATTTTGTCACCAAAAAGATTTCTCTTAACACTACAGGTGAACATGGGAAACTGTTTAATAGATATCACCATTGAATTTCCCCAGTTGATTACTTGCATTACGACAGTGTTTTTTGTATTACAAGTGTTTTAAAATATGTTTAAAAACGCAGAAGAGGCACCGTATATCGAAAAAAGCTCTGACTTGCACTAAATTCCACAATGGAAATCGGAACGTTTGATAAAACCAGCTTCCAAATTCAAATTGTTTCTTCTTTTTCTTTCGAAAATCAGTGACAAGGGTTTTTACATGAGGGGATTTCGGATATCTCTTTTCATCATTCCATTAATCAGAAAATACTGTCCACAGCCAGAAAAAAAAAATTATGATGTTGTCTGGACTAAAACATTTTATAAATTACACTGCGAATAACAGTTGAACAAAACAAGCTGTAAAAATCTTCGAATATCAGCCAGAAATAAATGTGGGAAATTTGTCTAGATTTCTAGCTCAGAGTAGAAGAAAAAAATCATTGAGAAAACAGCCTTTAAAGACGTGTATGGTAACTGAATCTGCAGACGCACAAATAGAGGATATAGCTGGGGATATACGGTTTGACGTTTTTTGAGTTCCTTACATTTTTCTCATCACTGAAAAAATACTAGTGCTCATACCTACATTAACATACTGATGTTTAGCATTTACTATTTAAGTGTTATTTAAAGGCCCTAAAGAAAAAGCAGTACAGCTCAAGCTAATGGTAATGTAATCATTTCTGCAGGGCATTGATCAAAGCTGTGGACGTCCATGACTTTTGACCAGATAGTGGTCGTAGCTAAACAATCATGGAATCACCAAAGTTATTAAAAATGATCCTGGAGTAGACATGCTTGTCGGTGCCAAATTTACTGTCAATCCATCCAACATTTGCCAACATATTTCAGTCTGAACCAGTGTTGAGATCGACCAACATTTTTATCCCCTGAGCTGCGCTGCTTGCAAAGAGAAAAGTAGAAGACGCAGCAGTAGAAAAAAAACTTGTGCTGATGGATTTAACTTAGAGGGTGTAGCAACTGAGAGCCAAAAACAGGCATGCATGTTTAGAGTACTTCACCTTTAACAGGCCAACATACAATCTGTTTAATCACTGTGGTCTTACTTTCATTTGTAGTTTTCGGAGCAGGCTTCCTTGTGGCCCAGTTGGTCCTGATCTGCCTTCCTCCCAACCACTGTCCTCCCATCTGCTGAATGGCGTTCTCTGCATCCTGATGACACAAAGCAAACACAACATTAGTCAACAATATCAAATACAAGATGTAAATCGTGGCTCTAAGCAGGTCAACAGTCAGAGCCTGCCAACGTTTTCTGAGTCCTCTAACATACGGTCACTGCTGGTGCACTTACCCATTTATTGAAGAAGGAGACAAAGCCATAGCCTTTAGATTTACCTGTGGCCATGTCTTTCACCACTCGACAATCCCTGCAGACAAATATGAAACAAGAACTCATTTTAGAACTCTGTTAACCAAGTAAATAAACAATGATGTTTTATTTCATATAGCATATAAGTGGAGTCATTTTAAATCCCTTCATATGGAGGTGAAAGTATATGTTATACGCAATAAAAGATATACCACAGAATGTCTGAATGAAACTAAATGCAGAGATCAGACTCTATTGACTTTAAAAGAGTTTTACTTGTCACTAAACCTGTGATCAAATTTTGTCTGTATATCCAAAGCCTATTTATCAGAGAAAGAAAAGGCAAAATAAGAATTATTTTTCAAGTTTCTGGTGGTCCTAATGATTAGAATTAACCAAATCTAAGCTTAAAATCACAATATAAAAAAAAAAATACATAAAGAAAAATTACAGCATTCTACACATCCCATTGAAACATTTGTCAAAATAAATAGTTTGCACTAGATCCTGTAAAAAAACAAAAAAAAGCAAAAAGGAGCAAATTATGCTCTCTATGATTTACTCTGCTGCGACCAACAGTCACTTGGCAAAAATTCAGGGACTATTCTGCTGAATTGATTAAAAAAATAAAATATACTTGATCAATAAAAGTAATGCAGCACGGGTAAAAGAAATTTTAAAAAGTACACAGAGGAGAAAGTTGTCAGAAGACACCTTTAGCATCAACTTTCTAAAGTAAATCTGCAGAGTAGAGTAAAAAAGCAGTTTGAAGAGGTTTTAAAAATGTAAATAGTCGAATTACTTTAGTATGTGAAGTCACTATTTTTCCACTTTTGGCAGGAAGTGGGGACACTTGGAAAAATGCTGTACATTGAATACAGTTTTTCAAGTTGTGTGAAATAAATAACTAAAGAAACCAAACTTCTGTTTTTTCATTCCTTATGGTTTATGGCATGATAACTTTGATATACTGCAGGGAAAACATTCTTAAGTTCTCTCTCCTTCCAGTCATGGTTGTCCTGTTTCCATAGAGGTGCATGATTTTATGCTGCAGCGCAAAATGTGAGTGTAAAAAAAAACCTGTAAACTGCCTTTGGTTCAGAGGGTTAAGCAGTGTTTCATTAAAACTACACTGGTCAGCTGTTTCAGGAGTATTTTGGAAAAAACTAACCAATGGGCTGAGAGCAACACAATGGTGAGTGAAGCTCGAAAAGCTGAACAGATAGATGAACACATTGTTGGTTTTGGGTCTTAATTTCATCCAACTACACAAGCTAATAATAAACATAGAGAATACACTTACGATATTTTCCCAAATGGAGCAAAAGCTGCTTTAATGTCATCTGTGGTGATTTCAGGACTTAGATCTCCAACAAAGACATGGAAGTGACCTAAAAAAAAAAAAGAAAACAAATGTTAAAATTCACACAGCAGTTCATAAACACAAACACAACAGAAAACAGCTATGTTCAAATTGCTTTCTGAATTTACAATTTAATTATGAAATGTTCTCCATCTGAATAGTATAAAGAAATCATGTAATTGTGAAATTGTGAAATTAGATTAACGACTTACTGCTTGTGTCTTTCTTTTGGCTGGTTGGCGTTGTGGCCCAGTTGACCTTCACCTCCTGCAAGAGAGACAGATGTAGAAAGCGAGGAAGAGGGAAAAGGTGAGACATGAATCATGTTGTAGAAAAGAAGGAAGGTTCTTTTTCTTTGATTAGAGGTTTTGTCACACACCAGTATTACTTAGGTCATATTTTGTGATTGAGAACTTTTTATTTTAATAAGATGCTCACTGTATGCCACACTTGGGTTCTTAAACCACCAACACAAACTGATTTATTCATTGTTATTATCTAATTTCACATACCTCTGCATTAATTAATACACAGTAAAATACAGTGGAGAATATAAAGGGATATTAAGACTTCACCTTTATAATCAGGAACATTTCACTCTCAGTCTAAGAATAATTTGGAGCAAAACTGTAGGAAGTAAGGTCCAAATAACAAGGGACTTACAAACAAGTGATTTTTACGAACTTGTTATACTCCTCAAATGGTCCTTCAATACCTGTTGAGGATAAAATATTTTCAACTGAATGTATTTTTCTTCAAGTTGCTCTTATGTGGATTCTATGTGGAAATAACTTTGCAAAAGAACACACAGCAGTAAAGATGTAGGGGGACAGAAGAGCATCAATTAAAGTAGGTCAAAGAATGTTACATGTCGCATGATTACACAGCAGGGCCACGGTAAATTAATTCATACACAGATGCAAACTCACTTAAGGAAAATTGTCATTAAAACAGACACAGCATGGAGCATGAAGTGACAGTAAAAAAACCTTATATCTTGCACACAGTGTAATTCAGAGTTATATTTTTCATTACTATCTGCACTGTAATCGAAAACAAACAACTGCATTTAAAGCGGAGAATGTTTAGTGTTTGTTGAAACAGTGGAAACCATTTTTAAATAAAACTACATGTGTAACTGACAACTTGTCCCAACACGTGACCCTAACAGAACGAATGTGTGAAGCCTCCAAAACAAGTCAGATAAAACAGCGATGATTATGATGAATGACCAATTATTTAAGCCATTTTTTAAAAAGGAAAAAAGCAACAAAAAAAAAAATCTAAAGATTCCAAATTCTCGAATGTGGATATTTACTTCTGGATTAATTAAAGGGCCCATATTACACACACATACCCAAGTTCATAAATCATTTTTAGGCTCTGCTGAAATATGTGCCTTTGCTTTAATGTTAAAAAAACACTATTTTTCTCATTGCTGCAGCACCTCTCCTCACCCTCTGTCTGAAATGCCTGTATTAGCTCCAGTCTCCTTGAGGACCCTCTTCCAAAAAGCTCAGTTTGCTCTGATTGGTCTGCCGGTCTGACTAAAGCGAGGTTATGTAGCGTAACCACAGATCTATAAATATATGGGTGTGGCTTTGGCAGTACTGGCTCCATCTAGGAAATGCTTAGATCTGCAAGGAAGTTGCTCATTCTTTGTTTAAGGGCGTGCCAAACTAGCTGCTAGGCAGGTGTTACACAAATGTGTTACATGGTGACAAAGATAAGCAATCAAGAAAAAGAAAAAAAAAAAAAAAAAAAAGGATGAACTTTAAACAAGCTTCAGGAAAGCAAGAAGCAGAGAGATTAAGTCCCTTTGCGGTGGATCTGAACAATTTTTATAGGCACAAAAGAGCAGCTGTGTAACACACTAAAGGAAAGGGAAACCCCCAAAAGCATAATATGGGCCCTTTAATGATATTCAACTAAATATTTTAGGGTTTTGCACAAAACAAGAAACTATAATACGGTAGCTTGAACTTTGTCCGAGCGCGGTCCCTTAGTCAGGACTTTCACAGTCGACACCTCAGACAAATAAACCAACGGAGGGTTTGTAGTCTGCTGTCTACAAGTTCAAACATCATGAAGCCTGATTCATGGTCGTTTTTTCATTCATTCTGTTTGGTCGTTTCTAAAAATATCGTGATGCTCTTTCACATACACATTATGATCCAAGTCCTCCCCTTACAAAGAGTAAAGTGGGTGTCGCTAGGTAGTCAGTATTTTTTAGAAGTTAGTGTTCTAAAGTGTAAGGACTGAAAGTTGACTAAGAAACAGTGTCAAGCCAGATTGTTCTGCCATCCTGCTAAAATCTTACTGTTTGAGTTGATTTTTTTAAAAATTATTTTGTTATAAGTTCTACACTGCAATATGTTATGCAAAAATAAAAAATACAACTTCAGCTATTTTGTGTGATGCAATTAATGTGGCAACAGCAATGTTGAAAAAAATAAATAAATCCCCAACTGCTCATGTCTTAGATGTCTTTATCATCAAGCATAGGTCTAACTAGACGTCATCAATTTTGATACGAAGTCTTGTCCCTGAGTGGAAAGAAAAAGCAAACATTGACAACTTTTTTTGTGTGTCCCTAATTTAACTATGACAATCGACTAACTTATGAATGTAATTACTTAGCTTCTGTAAAAAGCAATCATTTCATGTCTATCGAATGATTAACACGAAACTAACAAAACAAGGAGCAATAAAAAAGCAATATCAAAAGCTCATACTTTTGAGAATCTAAACATTATGTTTACAGGATTGTGAAACTTCCCAGCAGTACGATTACACAGATCAGTGTCTGGTGTTCCCACCCTGGTCATTTCAGACTGAGAACACAGAAGAATGATGTGCGCAGGGGAATAAAACAAATTAAGTGAAGTGGAGCAGGAACAGGGCAGTAAGATAACAAGACAAGCTTCTCCAGCCGCTTCATTTCAACCCCTGCCCACCCAGCCTTGCCCTAAGTTGACTCACCCAGGAGATATGATAGCTTACCTTACCCAGTATTTTCCGACCATTCATGGCTGCAATTGTGGCAGTGGCATGTCTATGTTCATAGAACTCCACAAAGCAGTATGGATCATGACCTGCTGTCTGGAGTGGACATTAAACACAGATATTAAGTTGCTGTGTACAAGTTTTAACAAGCATAATGACACCATTATTCAGCATTAAAATTAGAGGCCATGATACTACTGCACACTGGAAAAATAGTTGGGGATCAACAGGATAAACACCAGAGGACCTAAATCAGATCACAAGGTTAGGAAGCAAAGCGTTTATGCATTAACTCTTAAAGAACATTGCTGTGTTGGATTTTACTACTATAGGGATATGCTGGCTGGAGCAAAACTATATTATCAGGTAAGAGGGAAAACAGTGGGGGAAAAAAATGACTGATAAACTCACATCTACTATCATTTTACAGCTTTTGCAGGGTCCAATCTGCCCGAACAACTCCAAGATGAGGGCTTCTGTCACGTCCCGGGACAAATTCCCCACATACCTAAATGCATAAACACAAAACAGTGGACAGAAGACGGACAGGATTAATTACTGATGTGACGTAGTTGCTGATGGTGAGCCTGTGTGGGTACTGTAGCAGAGAGCTTGATTTACTTTCAAAGTATTAACTGTGGTTGAAAATCCAGTAATCTTTCATAGTCTGTGACTAGTTAACTTGTTTCCTAAACTGGACAGAACTGGGCAGAATCAATCTGAATTATTAGGGACGGGGTGGTTGTCTCCCTAGGAGGTTGTTTGAAAAGGTAAGAGTTGAATACCCAGGAAATGTGGTTCATAACCCAGCAACATATATAGTTGCTGTGGTCCCATGTTGATAGAAAATTAATTTTATTCAGTGGTGGACAGACATTTTACTTAAAACAACAATATAAACCACTACCATGAACTGAAAATGCAAAAAGACTGAATTTCAAATTCTATGGAAGTATAAAGTATTTCAAACAGAAAAGTACTTGTTCTGCAGAAATTCCACAAAAATGTTTTCAATTATTGGATTATTATGATTGTAGGCTGCATGTTAATGCTGTAGCTCACTAAAGTAAAGGTAATTTAACCAATGACACATACTGTTGTAAAGCGTAACCTTAGGAACTGCATCATATTAATAAGCTGTTGACAGGTTCTGAATGTACAATTCTGATCTGCAAAGTAAGGAATAACAGTAGCTGTTAAATAGGTATTAAATTATCTTCCTAAAATGTTCTTATATTACCTTTTAGTGGGTATTTACCTAAATTTGCCTTTAAACAACAAAAGGTTTTGTCTCCCTGATTCCAAAAGTGGTAAGTTGCTCCCCTTCCTGGTAATGTTTTTGGGCTGTAACACTTAATTAGTCAGACATTTACAACCATTTTTCTCCCCTCCAGTGGAAGTATTTGCTTGTCATTTGTAAACTTAATCTCTTGGGATGTGGGGCTTTTGATTGAACAAACACTCATCAGATGTGGCACAGCAAGGGCTCTAGTAAAAAGTGTAATGTGACAGGCATTTATTACCGTTTAGCTATTTTTATTGTCTTTTATATTTTACAGGCAAAGCGCATAGTTGATTATTGGAGAAAATTGTTTGTAATTTAATAAGTATGATGTCACCTTCTAAAATGGACGAAAATATTTTCGTCATGTGATGTTCAAACCACACACACACACACACACACACAAACAAATACAAAACCAACAACATCAGCAAGCAGCAATATGCAGCTTTTATACATAAAAAGAACCTTTTTCCCCCATCTTTACGACTAAATTAAATATAAACGTCTAAATACAATGAAATCTAGAGGCTGTTTATGCTGACTGATCCTGTAACTACAGCATTTAATGATCAGCCAAACATAGAGTGCAGTTAGAGAAGTAAACAACTGAAATAACAGCAACAGACCTTGCATAACCTTGCTGCTAGCTCTAAATAGAAATAAATTAATCCCACCCAAGTAACAAAAATAACCAATTCTCATAACCAAACATCAGCAAAAAGCTATGTCTAAATTCACTGGAGTTTCTATTAAGAAATCCAGTGGCCCTGTAAGGTCTGCCTGGACATCCACGACCCCAAATGTTTTAGGAATATCCCCAGATGTAAATTTTCTGTTTCTGTTTTTTTGTTTTTTTGTTTTGTTGTTTAAACAGAAGAAAATGCTTAGAAAAAAATGCCCCAGATCTATTCATATGAAATTCCCATCATGAGTTTAAGCATTTTAAAAACAGTATAGTTAATCACATACATTGGAATATGAATTTACTGTCTGTAAAAGCCTGGTCTGTCTGTTGGCTAAAGTCAGAATATTTTTCTGTCACATCAAGTGTCTAATTAGGCAGACTTTTCCATTTCACAGTCTAACCGTAGGATATCTGCAGCGGTGACGTTATTGAGTGTATGGATTCTTCCCCATAACTAAATACACAATGTGGCCAATCTAATCAGTAAAACAAATTAAGGCAACAGGACGCAGAGCAGCAAAGAAAACCTTTTATTGTATGTTGCTGTAGTTGGTAAACCATTTAACTATGGACAGAATTAAAATGTTTCTTGTCAGCTCCACAGTTACCAGATTTGAGCTCACTGTAATTATTTGGGATTATTTTTGTGGTGTACTGTGTTCCTGGACTTTAAGAGGGAACTTCTGTTTCTCTCCACAGCATCTGTACCTCTATTCCTGGACTATTTAAAGGGTAAGTCACCAACAATTCGTGAAAACTAGTATTTCCAAGGCACATTTTTACATAATCTAGCTCCAAGGCAGACCGCTTGAGAACCAGCTAGCCTGCAATCCATGTAAAATAAAGTGGAACATGGGCTAAGCATAGAAAGAAAATGGGATGACCTTACTTTGCCTACAGCAGTGCCTCACATTTTAAATTCACTTTACTCTGAAATAACTTGTAACTGGTGCAATTAATAGGTTAAATTAAAGATTTCTGGGCTGGGCTAAGATCCCAATGAGATCCTAACAACACCTCTGAACAAATCCATCCATATGTATAGGTTTCTAGGCCTGTGCATTGTGATTCTAGGGGGTGATGGCACGCCAAACTCCATTGAAAAACCTGGTAGTTTATGTTCTTCTGCTTATCGCAAGACTTCGCTGCAGTCTGGAGCTGCTTCTGATACATCAACCGAACCTCAGTAAATTATTATTCCATGCGGCATGCAAGAATCACAGCAAAAACGATGTATTACAATAACATTTCAACTTTTGCAAAGGGTTTTAAGAGGCGAGTAGTGCGAAGCGACGCGTTAATTTGGGATTTTTCTGGAATTAGCTAGCTAGCTAGCATCAACCAATGTATCGAATTTACCAGACGTTAGCTCGTTTCTGTGAGCTTAGTTTTACTTAAGACGTTAATTAGGTTGTGTCTAACGAAAACCTTCGCAAAAACGCATTTAATGTTTGATTCCATACTGAGTTTCGGACCGTTTCGGGACCAGGGTGCGCTCCGGGTAACAAGCCGCCGCTGAACGTTACGTGACGAACACAGGCGGTTAGCTGGCGGTGACACACACTTACAGGGTTTTGGGCTGGTCATCGTCCATTCTGGTTCACTTGCCGGCCGAAAACAAGTCGCAACCCTGAGAGCAAATCCACGACTGTCGTGGGCAGCTGCCGGTGACACTGTCAAGTTATTTTAATGCGAAGTGCGAACTGGTTTACCACCGCTGCTAGCTCCACAGTGAACAATGGGCACCCGACAAAGATGGCGGAGCGACCGGGGGCCGACCCGAAACACGCATGCGCAATGGTTCCGCCACAGGCAACTTCTGAGGAGCATATTGGAGGTGGAGGAAGAGGAGGAGGAGGCAGATTCAGCACTAATAGCAACTTCTCGGCAGATTAATAAATAAATTCAGCAGGAAGTATATAAATAAATAAACATATGATACATAAGATTGATATAAACACGTGTAAAGCACGTTTAACAAGCCAGTTTTCCTGTTTTCTTTACAGAATATGAACAGTACCTGTAGAGAAACACCTCTTCCACCAGAGGTGTTGTTAGGGTCTTGAAACATTGGTAACTTTCAGATTTTAACCTCTTAATTGCACCATTTCAAGCTATTTTAGAGTGAAATAAATATAAAATGTGACACACTGTACACTAGGGGAAGCAGGGTCACACCACTTTCCTTCTTTCTATGCTTAGCTCATGTTCCGCATTAATGCCTCATTAAGTGCAAGATGGCACTGCATCGTTATAATCTTTGAAATGGAAAAGAAAAGGAAAAAAATAACCGTTCCCACTAAAATAATGATTTATATTGCACGTCTTTCAAATTAATTGCAATTTTCTTTTCTGTTTTGAATATTGTACTTACATTTTACCTCAAATTTATTCATATCCTTCAATTAAAGAAACGGCAAAATTCACAACAGTCACTCAAATAACTAGAAACTGAAAAAAGTAATAATACATTTGTTAAATTATAATTCAGTGAAATAAGACATTGCTTTGAATTGTGGTTGAAAAGAATAATTTAAAAAAACAAACACAACTGTCCTGGACAAATTAGAGCACTTTGCTGATGAGCAGTGGCCAAAATCCAAATACCTGTCACCAGGTGCAGAAGTCTGATTGAGAGTTACAGAAAACACTTGATTGCTGTGATTGTCTCAAAGGGTTGTTCAATAAAATATTAGATTACAGGTCCCATCATGCTTGTTTACTTGTTTTTTTGTTGTTGTTGTTTTTAATATTTCTGTTGAACCACGATTCAAAAGCAATGTCTGATTTTCATAAAATTTTTATTTATTATTACTTATGGAAATTTCAGCTTATTTCAGTGACAGCTGTTTTTTCCTTCTTTAATGGGAGGGTATGAATACAGTGGAGGACGACTGTACTTACTACATGTGGTTTCAGCCAAAAGGCCGAAAAGCAATACGAATATTGTACTTACTTATGTATGTGTAAGTCGGTGTTTCATTTTTTCTTTCCTAAAAGCAATCTAATCAGAATAAGGCAGCCTGAAGAAATTTATCAATTTAGTACTTTGTATACATGGTCATACAATTTCTGTTAACATATAAACAATCAATGTCATTATAGGAATAGGATAGGATAGGAATAAACCTAATTTTACTCCTATCTAGTGACTGAAACATTCACTCTGCTGGTACAACGTTTCTAAAATGTCAACGGTTCACAATGGAAAAACATTGAAACTGTGAAGTGGGCTGAAAGGTTCAGAGTGTTTATTATTTACAGGAGGTAAGTTGTATACATCTTTACACTGTAATTTTATTCTCAAACACCGTTTTGACCAAGTTGAAAAGCGGCTTTAAAACGTCCACATATAAAATCACCACACAATTGCCGTCAAAAGTGATTACTTTTGCAGATATAAATAGTTTGTTTCAGTAGTTGTCTGATGTATGAATGAGCTCAAAAATGAAAATAAATATTTTTTCATGTAGGTATTTTTTGAGATGTCATTTGTGGCATAGAAAAACCTTATGCAGTACTTTAATTGCTTTGTGTAATATAGAACTGTAGGCCTACAGAGACAATTGTGACAATTATGCAGTAAAGTTCTATTACCAACCATGTCGACCTCACATACAGTTTTATACAAATCCCAACTATCACCATTTTCACTGCCATGTTGTGTGTCTTTGGTAGTTTGTGTTATTTTTATTGTATTTTTTGGCATTTATGTGAATGAAGATTTTGCTTTTTAAAAACATCAGTGGAATCAGCCCTTCCAGATGTGACCAGCTACAGCCACATTAACTCATAGCAACGTAACAGAACCACCGTAGGTTTTTACAAAATTCAAGGTGGAAATACGTTAACGGTATCGAAACAATAAAAGCGAGAAACCTGATTTACTGTCGACGCGACGCTTCAAGTACAGCTTTAAGTTGTCATTAATTTGTGTAAAATGAATGACAAATATATAAGTTACATATATTTTAAGAAAAAGAAAAAGAAAAAATCCCCCCAAAGTCCAGCGGTCTCCCTGCCTGCACCCTGATGCTCTGCGGCGATGATTCAGTCCCACACAGTGTACACAGCAGTGCAAACAGAGATGAGTCAAGCCTCTTATCTCGGCTAAGTCACGGCCTCATCTTGGGCAGATGTTGTGGTCAGTGATGAGTTTCTCCATCCTCTTTATCTTGCGTTTATTCTTGGGCATGGGTTTGTCGTACATGCCGTTCCTCAGTAGATGCTCCTTGCTGTGATGAATCTGAGCGCCGTGCTGCAGCTGGAAGGAGCACAGAGCTTTCAGGGGCCTCAGCAGAACCTGGGAAAGAAAGGATAATTAAAAGTACAATAAATAAATATACATATAATACTGAATTCTCTCTTATCCTACAGGAATTAATTACGCCCGTCTGGTCCAGTGCACTTCTTTGGAAAACAATCTACAGCTGTGAAATTTCAAAGATGTGACAATTTTATATAAATAATAGATCAAGTGTATGTGAAACCATTTGTTCACAGTAATGATATTTACCACAGTATGCTACCAGTCCAGAATCAAATTAATTTGTAGAAAAAAGAAGAAAAAAAACTTCTAAACTCACAGCCATATTGTTTCACATGCACAAATACCTGCTGCTCTCTTTCTTTGGAGACACTCAAGTGGATCCTGCTGATGTCTGATGCTGCAGGTACTTAATAAACTCAGAGGAAAGACTCTTGGTCTGGTGTTTTTGGATGGATATTGGTGCTGAATATGCTTCCTTTAATCACTTCACACAACTTGATTTATTGTTGGATGTGTGTGTGCCTATTTGTCATCGTGTAGGCCACACTTGGACTATGTTCTAAGTGAAATGTTTCTAAGTCTGATCTAGTAAGATTGTTGTCACAGTTACTACAGAACAGTGACCAATTTGTGTATTCAGAAATGAAGCTGACATGTTTAGGTACCATCAGATTAAAAGAAAGAAGGGCAATGCTGAAAAAGATCACAAAAGGCTAATGTTTGCATGCTACTGGTGTGTGTGTGTGTGTGTGTGTGTGCAGCAGCTTCTGTGGTTTTCCTTGTGTTTTCTTCACAACCACAACATCTGCATGATGAGAACATTGAGCTGAAGATGCTAACACACCCAACCAACTATATCTGAAGCTTTTCAGAAGTTTAGCAAATACGAAAAAAGCTCACATCATTTCTGTGGTATTTAAATGGGTTTAGAGATTTGCATTATTTCAGTGATGTTGGTGCCGACTACTAAATGTTATTTAGCAGCTTAAGAAACAGATGCATATCTTAGCAGCTGCTGTAGGCCAAAATCAGCTAAAAAAGAGCGTTAGGAGTGTCTTCCTCTGTATTTGCTCATTTTGTAAACAGGCAGCTGTGTACAAGCCTCACGTCTACATTAACTTCATGCTGTCTTTGTTCTGCCCCTAAGCAGTCAAACAAACCATCGCTGCATGTTAAATTCTAACCATGCTCTTCATGGAAAGTTAAAGGCATTAACACCCTCAGAGATGAAAACCGTTTCATCGCATCACCTCTTGGATCTCATCGTTCCGCTCCAGGATTGACAGGGCGACGGCAGCACATTCCAGCGTGGACAGACAGATGTTGGAGGGTTGAGTGCGGATCACGTACTGACTGGACAGAGTCCTGTTGAGCTGCACCTGGTAAACCAAAGCAGAGGTGATCAATTGTGTGGGAATCTCACTGATCTATAAAAGCCACTGGTTTTTATGGATTTAAAGGTATAATTCCAAATCAAATCCAGGCATTTCTTTTTTCAGCAAGTCATTTACATTCAGCAGTTATCTCTATGCACAATAGTTTTCTTTGTTGGTGGATTCAAGTTCACAAGGCAGGCATATACTCCCATTTGTTTTCCAACTTGATCTCATTGTTCACTCCTAACTCTCCAGACACTGTATCAAAGGTGAATGCTGACATTTTCTACAGTAAGAGCATTCACCTGGTCCAACAACAAGTGGCTTTTGTATTAAAACAAAACGGGTTAGTCTGGCTGCACTGTAAACATGCATAATAACAGCTGTATTCTGACCAAGTACCAGCTTTCTGAGTGTCTGTTTTAGTATGAAGCCTTTTTAGGGCATAAGATTGCTGCTGTTAAAGTGATGCCATTCAGACATGGGTCACTTTTACATTAATGTTCCTTTCAGGTTCGTTCAGACATGCACACCACAATGCATAACATTGCACGAACAAGCAAAGAAAAATAATCTAAATCTGCTTGGTAACAAATGATTTAACTGCAGCTGATAAACTGACTCTGTTTTAAGCGAAGAAAAGCACACTTGCAGTTTGATCCTGTCTCCATGTCGGGGATTATTGAGAATTAATTAACTTTATGCATAAATGTTCACACTTTGAAGATGCTCAAAGGGATTCTGTTGCTGTCTGAAGCTGCAGGTATTCAATAAACTCAGAGGAAAGACTCCTACAAACAGCTGGAAGCAACCAAGTAAACTTCATCCCGTTAATGTTTTGTCAAAACACTGATTACATTTACTAGTGATGAGTTTCCTTGTACATCATTACAGCAGCAGATGCTGGTTGATGAATCTATTGACAGAAAATGAATCAGCCTTTTTGTCAGCGTGATGGGCAAAGGTATTGCTACGGCAAAGAAATGTTATGCTTACTGTCCAACTCCTGACCTGAAAACTGTTGTTCAAAGCCTTGTATTGTCTCCCCTGCATTACTGTCCTGTAGTGTGGTCCAATGCTACACAGAGGCATCTAAAGAAACTCCAAATCGCTCAGAACAGAGCTGCTAGAGTTCTGCTCCACTGTTCTTTTCAAACAAATGTGTGTGAGATGCACAAGAAGCTGTCCTGGTTAACAGTAGAGGCTAAGTTACAGCCAGACTTTTAATGTTCATGCATGAAGTTTTGGCAAAGAGAGAGCCCAGATTTTTAACCGAACAACTCTTATTCAGTGGGTTTTGTCACAATTATGAGCCTCGCCTAGTGACCTCAAGTACTCTGGTCGTCCCCAGGCCAACTTCATGAAGAGAACTATTGTCTACAGAGGAGCAAAAGCATGAAGCTCACTTTCTTTACAGATCAGAGACACTAAAAATATAGGCTCTTTTAAAAGGATAATAAAGGGACAATTGGCACAGAATACGTGATAATTCTTCCTCTGTATTAGTGTTATATTTACAGTGTTGTATTAACTTGCATTTATTGTAATCCATTCACTGCTTTGTACTGGGTTGCATTACAAATCAAATGTTTGCTATTTATTATGTATATTTAATTTTTTGTAAATGTATTTTTTATTTTTACCCTGAGACCCCAGGAAGACTAGCAACCACTTTGCGGGAGCTAATTGGGATCCTAATAAAGAATAAAGTCCCTGTTTTCATCATGGAATCACTGTTTTATTTAGCATATATATACTTTACATACCCACTTTGAAACATATTTTATGTAAGATAATCGAACATGTTGTTTCTTGTTTTTCAATTAAAAGCTGCAGTGACTTGGAAATTCGAAGGACTGAAACTAGTCAGCTTATATTTTGTATTCAAATATGAGTAAATCCTGCACTCATTCCTCTGTCTGTTCTGTTCTACATTTGCATTTGGTCAAAACTACAGAAAAGAGAAGAAATGCTGCTCAGTGTTCACCTGCCTACATTCAAGATACTTTTTCTTATTTTACCATTGAGTTTCAATTAGTCACTTCATGTGGGCGACGCAGCTTTCCCACCAGTGGGTGTAATTTACGTCATCCCAGGTTAACAGGACACGGCTCTCTATTCCCCAGACCTCGTCCTCCTTTAATGAGACACCACAGTTGATACACACCTGTTTGGGCAGGTGGAACAGGCTGTTCTTGAGAAACATGTTTTTGGCCTGACTCCAGGTGCCGTCTATGATGATCACGTTATGTTTCACGGTGCCCACTTCTTGGTATTGCACTAAATCCTCCAGGTTCTGGGATTTTGGACCTGGGTACAGGATCAGCGTTCTGCTGTCGTGACACACCGCAGCCAGCTCCGGGTGCCTGAGTGGAGAATAAATGAAGACGTGACCTAAATATGTTTGAGGAGGTTTGGGGATACGTTGCATATTTAAACACTTACTTTTCCTCGTTAAATCTCCTTCCCACGATGACATTGCACTTTCCTTGTGGCAAACAAGCAGCGAGTAGAGGCACTGTGCGAAGTACTCGGCTCTCCTGAAAGCACAACATTTAGAGAACTTAATTGAAACCATTAGCCTCTCATCAACATGTGTGCATTGTTGTCATTAGCTGGCATGATTAATTAATGGTGAAAAGCAGAAAACAGTACAGTACATCTCACTGGCCAGTTATTACAATGTATTTGTAACAATCTCACAAAAGAGCAGAGCTGCAACTGACGATTGTTCTCACAGTTGATTAATCTGTTTGTTGTTTTCTTTGGTCTACAAAATGTAAAAAAAAATGGTGAAAAATGTCAGTAAGTGATTTACTCAGTTTTGTTTTGTCCACAACCCAAACATCTTTAGTTTAGTACCTTAGAGGAGGAAAGAAAGCACAAAATATGAAAACTTAAAAAGGTGGAATCTGACAATATAGAATTTGCTCTACCAGATTAATCAACTGTGAAAATAGGTGTCAGTGAATTTAATAGCTGACAACTAATTGATTATTTATTGCACCTCGAAAACTAAGATATCATTGTTAAACAAAGAAAGACAAGAAAGGCTTACATTTCTATTTAACTAACCTTAAACAGTAGATTTACCAATATTGAACTGATGCTAGAATAAGGCTAGACTTAAATTTCAAAAAAATCAAAATAATAATTAAAAAAAAAAAACTAACAAAATTAAAAAGAGCATCAATTGAAATGTGGTTTTGGTCACAAACTATTTCTGGCTCAGAACACTGCCATCTCAGACCAAACTGATATCCAATAACTGTGTCTTTACATTCAAATAATTACATTATAATAGCATTTTCCCCAAAAGACAAGCATAGGAGGGTGAGTAGTTTGTAGAGTCCTGATGGTATCTATAAAAAAAATCCTCTTATATTTGTAATAACTGCAGCCCACTCAGATGACTGTATGAATATATCATTGAAACTTGCTCCTTGTATCTGGACTCAGGCAGCTGGACTGTCAGAGGACACTGGGAAGATTATTCAAGTAAATAAAACAAACTGTAAAACACCAGAGACAAAACTGGGAATTTGAAAGGTTAAGGAATGTTACTCCCAATGTTCAGCCGTGGGCAGGAGGTTCCAGACAGTCAGTACAGAATCAAAGATAGATTTTCCTCCTGTTTCTGTTTTTTAACAATAAAAATCCCTATTTGGCTTTTCCTGAACACTGTTGATCTGTATGACGGTACAGTCACAGCATTTCTGCAGGTTCATGCAATTAAATTTCAGACCCAATAATACCTCATACAATGAAATCATGATACAAAGTGTGAACGTATGGTAGAAGAACAGCAGGAGCCAGCATGGCCACGAATCGTTCTGTGTCAAATTTCAATCAGTACTTAGAGTAGGACAGTTGTTATTAATGGTATACCTATGGCACACAGGAGAGAGTTTAATCTAAAAGGTTTATAAGGTCCCATAGAGGAAATCAATTTTTATTGTGCTTTGTGTGTCTTTCAAACACAGACGTGTAAAATAAAAGCACTGAGAATAGAAAGGAGCTAGGAACTATGTGGAGATCATATTGCTGACCTTCAGAGCCAGTGGAAACCTCAAAAGCGACTTAAAACCAATAAACGAGGACTGTGTAGGTGACTGTGCAACCCAAACTCAACCACTGTTTATTTCTCTCCTACTCTCTGTGCTCACAACATTTTAAAACAGCGGGATTCCCAATAAAGCTGCTCTCATTTACATATTTTTCTGTTACTGTAGTCTGACAACTGCCTGAGTATGAAACAGTGACTAAAATGCAGCTCATTAAGACAACATGTTAGACAGCAGTCATGTCAGGTCCATTTTCAAGCTGCAGCTCTGCACCACCAAACGACTGATTGTATAACTGCAAAATCGTCTGACAAACTCAGCATCCACATGAGAATGTGAATTTAGCAATATTTCATTGTAGACTTAGCACTCAGAGAGCAAGTTAAAAGCAAATGAAAGTCCTGGTCTTG